TTTTTGATATAGGATTCCCTATTATGAGGAAGGGAATCCAGATGAACACAGGTCTGCCTTATCTCAGACAAGGCGGGGGTGAATGTGCTTCAGGTGAGGCTGAATCTGAGCTAACGTTCTTTCTAGAATGTTGGCAGCTCTTGTCCTTTGAAAAACAGCAGGGTAATTGAAGATGTTGAGAAAGGTTCAAGCAAGTTTGCGTCACTACCACATTAGTCAGGAGACCGGAGCCGACAAAGATAAAAGAAGAATAGAAGTGAGGATGTGGCAGTCCCAGCTACACAGCCACTGACAGAATGTTGACGGCTCTTTGTGAGGCACAGGTATTTTGATGTGTCAAATATTCTAAGTGCATGAACTCTCTCTGCCAGAATTCCCTGTGCACCTGTTGAACAATTCTCTAACGAAATTACCCCATGACTCTTTTTGGTGGGCGAATGTTGTTTTCGCCTGTTCAGCATCCATTCTCACTTTGGGACTAGCATCTAGATTTTCCCTTGGAGAATCACCCCTTCCCGCTCCCCAGTCCACATTTCTGGCTGAGCCTGACCCAGCCCTACCAAGCACCAGGTAATTGGTGCAGAAGGGCACAAGACCTGGTGAGATTCAACACTGGGACTTTTGTTGATACTATTTGGGAATGTGAGGCTTGCTGTGTCCTGAGATTGCTACTGTAGGGATAATATAAGCCTGGAGATGCTAGGAATCATAGGTAGAAAAAAACAGTCTGAAAATAGGGCCAACACAGTGGAGAACAGAACAAGAGGAGAGAGGAACCGAGTTCTATTGACATAGTTTTAGCCTAGATCCAGCCACGCCTGCAGGGAGATTCATCCATTAGATAACATTTTCACGATGTGATCTAATAATTTCCCTTTTTTGCCTAAGCCAAGTTTGAGCTGGTTTATGACTTGTGGAATTAAAAGAGTTCTGACTCTTGAAACTTTATTGCTGTCACAAAGGACAACCAGAAGTGTTTATCCAGTCTATATAAAACCAAAGAATGTGCTCAGGCCTGTTGTGGCTTTAGAATTTCTGTAAGTAGGTGCCACAATCAAGTAAAAGGAAATAGATGAGGGTGCCTGGGTGGCTCAGTCATTAAGCATCTGCCTTCAGCTCAGGTCATGGTCCCAGGGTCCTGGGATCAAGCCCCGCATCGGTCTCCCTGTTCAGCAGGAAGCCTGCCTCTCCCTCTTACCCCTCCCCCCTGCTTGTGTTCCCTCTCTCTCTGTGTCTCTGTCAAATAAATAAATAAAATCTTTAAAAAAGGGGGGGAATGGGTGAGGGACTTGTTTTGAAGCAGCTTTACCTGAAATTGATTAACCATCTATTATTCATATCAAAAAATGAGGAGGAAAAAAAGACATCCCCCCAAACCACTCCCTTGGCGACACCATTCACTCAGACTAAGGAAAGATCAATCAATGGGGTTTCCAGAGCACTATGAGGGTCTAATACATATCTGACTATCATTGCTTACCTGAGGCTGAAGGATGTAATGGAAAGTGCTCTGGATTAAAATCCTAGTACTACAAAGCCCCCGAGCTAAGTGACCCTGGACTAATGGCTTAAATTCAGGGAGATCTAGCTTATTTTGCAGAGATAGGAGCATGTAACCACTTCCTTATATGCTGCCTGGAATTGTGGTCAACTGAGGACCTGGATGCCAAACCACTTTACAAATTCTAGTACATTACACCAATGTAAAATGTTCATCTCCTAATTTTTATAGCAATTACAAGTTTAAAAAATTAGTTTCTGGGATTAGGTTACATTGGGCTCAAGACGGCTTTGCATTCACTTACTGTAGGTAAAGAAGGGTCCAAGGAGAAGAGCTAGTCCTTGGCACCTGCATACTCTGGAAATGAGGCACTCATCACCTCCAGACCTACTATATTGTCATTTGTTTGTTTATTTATTATTATGTCTTCTGCCAAGAAAATGGAAGCTCCACAAGAGTGAGAACTTTCACTGCTGTATCCCAGTAACTAAAACAGATTAGTGGATCGCTAAAAAATATTTGTTGAATGAATGTTTCAATGCTGGAAAGGATGTGAAGCATCTCTCATACACAGCTGGTAGAACTTGCAATTGATAAAACCACTTTGGAGGACAACTTGTCAATATCTAATAAAGTCAAATTGCACATGTCATGGGCTATTGCTGGGTATATTACATGCCTTGGAATATACCCTAGATGATCTCTTGCATACGGGCATAAGAATATTTATAGCAGTATTATGTGTAAGAATAAAAATTTGGAATCAACCTAAAGTCTGTCAATTTAAAAATAGATAAAGTAATTTTGGTATATATCCATGTAATGCAATATGACATAACAGGAAAATAAATGCACTAGGGACTCCACAGGTGCTCGGGCATAAATTTCATAATTATAACGTTAAGGAAGAAAAAAACAGTGCAGAAGGATGCAGAAATATCATTTATATCAAATACTTAACCTTGCAAAATAAGCTAGATCTCCCTGAATATACATATTTTTTTTTTTAAAGTAGGCTCCACACCCAACATGGGGCTTGAACTCATGACCCTAAGATCAAGAGCCACATGCTCTACCGACTGAGCTGGCCAGGTGCCCCAAATGCACAAATATTCCTTTAAACTATCACTGTGGAACTAGGAAAATAGGATATTTTGGTAAGAAAAGTCAAGATTTGTGCCTGTAAGCTGACCTAACACAAGGTAGTCCTATTTAGGACACCATGTTAAGCCCTTAAAAGTGAAAGGAAAATGAACTGAAGACATGTAGTCCTTACACCTTAGAGAGACATCACAGTATGTTTCATTTTCTACCAAGCCTAGCTACAATACTTCCCCTAGTGACACTTGGCTTTGGCTATTCAAATGCATTTATCTCTTTCTGTGACAACAACATGAGCTTGGCAGAACATTGAGAACTGTAGGCTGAGAAAAGAAAATGCAGTCTTCCTGCCCACAGAAGAGATTCTGAGACATCCGTGCTAACACAGCATTGCCGAAAGGGCTTGTATATGAATCAGCCACAAATGTTAAGTGGGCTGATGAGGATTGCAGAGTTCATGAGAATTTCTGGTGAAGCGGCATGTAACAGTGCTATCGGTCATCGTGTGAGTGTGGTGCAATCTGTAATTTCACTTGTTTGGGTCTTTTTGTTATTATGTGTTAACGCTTCACTAAGGCCTGTTGCAAGTTCTCTTTTTCCTTTGCTCTCACAATCCCACTGCTTCATGAATGAGAATTCAGGCTTGTGGCAAGAATGCTAAATATTCCTTCAAACTACAGACAGGAAGGGCTGAGAGACAGTTCTGTTGTATTAGCGTCTGATTCCAGGAACACGATTCCAATTCTCCTCATTTCCCAACCATAGATGCGTTTTGGCGCTTACCACAGTCTAGTTGAATCCCCTCCGTGGTACCTAGGAACCAAACCAAAAGCAGTGTCAAGCAAAGAGGAGTATGAAGGCAGTCAATAAAACAGGTCCTCCGGCTTCCAGCATCCTCCCCCTACCTAGGCCCAGTACTGTCTAGGGTTGACACATTTAGCAAAGAAATACACAGGCTCCTATATTTTACTTGACAATCCTGTTAAGGCCTTTAGGAGCTCTATCTTAGTCTTATGGCATCACAGTCTATTTTGGGGGAAAAAAAAATCTGAGATTAGTCATCAGACTATTGAGCAGCCTTTCTCAAAGTCTGGTCCCAGGTAATCCGCATTAGAATAACCTAGGACACCTGTGAAAGGGGCAGATTCCTGAGTCTTGCCCTTTACTCCCAGAATCAGAAATTCCAGGGATGAGCCTGGAAATACACATTCTTTTTTTTTTTAAGATTTTATTTATTTATTTGAGAGAGAGAATGAGAGAGAGAGAGAGAGAGCATGAGAGGGGGGAGGGTCAGAGGGAGAAGCAGACTCCCCGCCGAGCAGGTAGTCCGATGCGGGACTCGATCCCGGGACTCCAGGATCATGACCTGAGCCGAAGGCAGTCGCTCAACCAACTGAGCCACCCAGGTGCCCTGGAAATACACATTCTTGAAAAACAGTGTCTCAGATAACTCAGAGGTACTCTAAAGTATGACAGTTATTTAATGATCTGCTTGTCTTTTCCTCTCCCGTCAGTACATACTTAAGGCCTTTTTCTGCTTGTAGAAAAGAGATAATAAAAGTACAGTATGTGACATTTAAGGGGACCTTAATAAATATTCCCTTAATCGCCTTTTTAAAAAAAAAATTATTTATCTGAGAGAGAGCGAGCAAATGAGCACATGAATAGGAGGAGGGGCAAAGGGCTCTTTCCTCTTCAAGCAAGCCCACTCCCTTGTTGAGTGGGGAGCCTGGGGCTTGATCCCACTAACTGAATCATGACCTTAACCCACTGGGCCACCCAGGCACCGCTCCCTTAATCCCTTCTTAAAGGAATTTTGGACTTCAGGAACAAGACAGGGTAGAACCTCAAGGCCAGCCCCCAGACCCCTGAGAAAAAGAAAGTCAGAGGCAGTCTCTGACCACCTCCAGGTAACTAAGCCCTAGTTCATCTACACTTGACCCTGTCCAGGCTGCTACTCCAGACCCACCGCCAGGAAAGCCCATGGGCAGAGCTTCCAGCACAAACATGTCCAGAGCTTCACTGTGAGGGACAAACAGAAGGAATCTTCAGTCAATGTTCAGAGTCACCTGCACTTATCTGCCCCTTCTCTAAATTACCTCTGCACTTCCTTCTCCTCTGGATCAAAGAGTTAATTTAAAACCAGAATTCCGCCCCACCCCCACCATTCGTCTGCCTCTAATTCTGCTCTCTGCATTTTCCAGAATTTCATCTGAAACCCTGCCACCAACATTAATGAACAGCTAGCTCACTGCCTGTTTGAGAACCGCGTGCCAGAGAAGGGGGTAGAATCCTGCAGATTCAGTCCTTGGGTTTAGAAAGACTACAGGCCCCAAAATGCAATTTCACCTTCCAAAGACTACCACTCCCAACATGCAATGCAGCCAGAGTTAGCAAAGGAAAAGCCTGTCTGAAGTTTTGCCTTCCTGTCACCCTCAGGCCAAGGAAAGATTTAGGAAGTCGCCAGAGGATATTTTTTGCAGGAGCGGTCACTCTAAATCTAGGCGAGGAAGGGGAGGAGTCTGAGCCGGGTCCCGCCTCTTCTCCAGTAAACTTCTCCCGCTCCAGCTTTGGAGGCTGGAGTTCCTAGGGCAGGGAGCAGTAGCACGCCCCCGGCTTTCCCCATGGCTTCGGTGACCAGAGCCGTGTTTGGAGACCTGCCGTCAGGGGCAGGGACAGTGGAGAAGTTCCAGCTGCAGTCAGACCTGCTGAAAGTGGACATCATCTCCTGGGGCTGCACCATTATGGCCCTGGAGGTCAAAGACAGGCAGGGCAAGGCGTCAGATGTGGTGCTCGGCTTTGCAGACCTGGAAGGTGGGTTGAACTCTGCCCCGGGCTGCCGGGCCGGCCCCAGGCCCCGAGCGCCCCCGGACACGCGCCCGGATCAATCGGGCTGCTGGCGGCGGGGATCCAGAGGAAGTCCCCGAGCTTGGCGCCGTCAAGAGTGCTAGCAGTCGGCCAACTCTGTGTTTCCATCCAGTGTCCGGAAAAAAAGACAAGTGAATGCGAACAGCTACAGGACTTGGCCTCTGGTTATCCAGTTCGGCTTTGCTCTAATTAATTTAGAATAGTTGAGGGTAAGATGAAATCCCAGCAACCCAGGAGCCATATTTGAACTGCCAGGTCTGTGAGGGCAGGAGAGGTAAAAGCTGACTAGGGGGGTGTGGCTCCCCGTTCTTCCCCTGTGTTCTGAAGTAGGACAATCTAAGACCTGCCTTTTCTACTTGTTTTCTCCCCCATCAGATCCTCTTGACTGATTGTCTCAGAAATGCTCCAACATGGGGACGCCTGGGTGGCTCAATCGTTAAGCGTCTGCCTTCAGCTCAGGTCATGATCCCAGAGTCCTAGGATCGAGTCCTGCATCGGGCTCCCTGCACGTTGGGAGCCTGCTTCTCCCTCTGCCTGCCGCTCTCTCTCTTTCTCTGACAAATAAATAAAATCTAAAGAAGGAAGGAAAGAAAGAAAGAAATGCTCCAACATAGCTCAATGGGTGCAGAAGTGGAAGACCGACTCATTGTCTAGCAATGAGGTCTCCCAACTAAGGATGAACTTCTAGTGGAATCCGTGGGCAATTAGGATCATGTATGAATCCATGCATTCAAAAACGGTTCATTCAGTCTCTCATTCAGTGAGACAGACATGGTCCTCACCCTCACAGAGCTTGCCCTTTAGCTGGGGAGATAGACATTAGCCAAATAATCATGATTACTCATGATTCATGAATCAGGATTCATGAATAATTACACTTGCAGTTTGATCTCAGCAAAGGAAAATGGACGCAGAGCTATCTCTTGTCCCTGCTGTGTAGCTAGACATTGGAGATAAGGTCTGAAATAAAGTTGGCAAAGGGAAACTGCTTGAAGATAAATACCCTTTGCTCAGTGGAAGGGGTGTGCACAAAAACTGCTGGAGAGGAGGTTTGAGGTTTTCCTTTGGGTGCGTCTTTCTATCTGCTTGGTTCTTTAGCTAATGTAACATGGCTCATGGTTAGAAGTCAACAGAAAACTCCGGGTCTTGGTTTTTCCCTGGTGGGGGTTCAGATCTTCTGCCTTCAGAGTCAGAAGGCAGGAGGGCTGACAAGTGACAAAAGAGGACTCTTAGTCATTCTGCTGAGTCACCACTCTGTTAGTAGCATAGCTATTTTCTGGGCTGACGCAGAATCACAAAGAGATTACTTGGCTGGTGCAGAATTGCCCAGTGGAGTTGAAGAATTCGACGTGGGGCCTAGAATTCCAGAGCCAGCAAAGCATTGGAGATGCTAAGCTGTCAGCATCTACTTTTACCACCTCCTCCATCTCTGCTTTATTGCCGTTCAAGAGATAGCGGCCCTCCCTCTGCACCTCTACACACACACATTCACCTACCCTCCCTCCTTCCCCGTTTTAGTTCCGCTGCAAGAGTCACGCGGATCTTCAAAGACAGAGCGTCTGTGGAACTCTTAGGAACTGCGTGCGGGGACATGACACCTGGGAAGTAGCAGTGTCTTCATGGGCGTGGAAGTGCCGATTTTGTGAGGGCATCCATACAGTGGAGTCGTCTCTGAGTCTAGGACTCCTGTGGGAATCTGGGTGAAGAAAGTATTATCCCCACATGTTCTTAAAAGGGAGAAAAAAAACCAGATGCCCTCAGATTATGGGGATCTGGCTTGTGCTGTATTGCCCTCCACGTTAGTAACCTGTCTTGAGAACATTAAATAGCATTTTCTTTTCTTTTTAAAAAAGATTTTATTTATTTATTTGAGGGAGAGAATGAGATAGAGAGAGCATGAGAGGGGGAGGGTCAGAGGGAGAAGCAGACTCCCGATGTGGGACTCGATCCCGGGACTCCAGGATCATGACCTGAGCCGAAGGCAGTCACTTAACCAACTGAGCCACTCAGGCACGCAATAGCATTTTCTTATTAGGATACATCACAGGCTTCCCAAAAAGGTTGAATCAAAGCCTCTAAAATATTCTGGGTGCTGGGTTGAGACAGACATCCTCATTCCTATGCTATAATTTAGATAATTGAATTATTGATTTTAAAAGGAAAGCACACTATTTTCAGAAGAGGAGAAGTTGGAAAAGAGCCCTCAGAATATCAATTAGTGCTTTCTAATATGTGCAGCCATCCTCGTGGTTATTGCAAGTGGCCCTTTGTTCCCTTTTTACAGCCCTTTCAGTTTTTTTGTAGATTTTTTCAGTATTGTTAAAGATAAAAGAAGACTTCATATATGTCATAACAGGAAGCATATTTGTCTGGGTTAGAGTAGTGTGAAATGGTGCTCTACTACTATTTTGATTAATTCTTGTGTATTAAAACCCCTGGTAAGAAACTGGCAAAAATGGGCACCTGGCTAGCTCAGTTGGTGGAGAGTACGGCTCTTGATCTCGGGGTTGTGAGTTTGAGCCCCCCCAGTTGGGTGTAGATATTACTTAAAAAAAAAATCTTAAAAAAGAAAAAAATTGCTAACAGTGATTGTCTTTAAGAAAAGACATCGAGGGGTGCCTGGGTGGCTCAGATGGTTAAGCGTCTGCCTTCGGCTCAGGTCATGGTCCCGGGGTCCTGGGATCGAGTCCCGCGTCGGGCTGCCTGCTTCTCCCTCTGCTTCTCTCTCTCTCTCCCTCTCTCTCTCCCTCTGTCTCTCATGAATAAATGAATACAATCTTAAAAAAAAAAAGAAAAGACACTGAGTAGCTGGGGTGGAGGGTTAAGAAGGAGACTTTATTTTCACTGCATATTCTTTTGGAATATCTGAATATGTAAGTATGATATAAACAAAACAGAGGTAAATCATTTAACGCTACAAGACATGACAGAATATGACAGAGTAGGGGGTTATCTTGACATTACTATGTCCCCAAAACGTTTTGAGCCACAGGGAGGAGCTAAGCATGGATAATTCCATGAGACATGGTCCTTTCCTAACTGCCAGGTTAGATGTGAACGCTCTCCAGTTTCCCAGATAGCTTATATAATCTGCCTGGATCATGGCCATGACCAGAGGTCAGAATGGTTCAATTTCTCCCTGGGAAAATTGGATCTTTCTTCTGTAGAATTCTAAAGAGGTAAATCCTAGGATCTTTTAGTTACAGCCTGGAAAAATCAGTAATGCCTCCTATGAATTTTTCTGCCATTTTTTTGTACTTAAAGTACTTAAAAATGCTTTTCATCTTCCTGTCCCACCTACAGTCATTATGACTTCTTTCAAAACCTGTGATGAGACTATTTGCCTGTAAGCCACAGGTATAAACAACCTACCCACACAGTCACCGCCTGCCTGCCCCTTTATCTTCCCCCCAGTCACCACCAAATACCCAGCTATTACTGCCATGAGAGCCATTATGGAAAGAAATAGAAAAAACAGACTTTGTGTTTTTCGAAAACCGCTGTTCATAGCAGGGTGGAGGAAAAGGGAGGGGCTCCGTATTGCAGATGCCGGAGAGTGCCCTTAGAGGAAACTGAGGATTCCTGGTTTAGATCTCTGCTTTGTCCCTTAAAGCTGTGGGACCTAAGCAAGTTATTTAACCTCCCCAGACTTATTTCCTCACCTAAATTAATGGATAATGATGATTAAATGTGCTACCAGCTGTGATAGTGTCTGGGTAGTGAACAATCAATAGCTTTTATCTCTTTTCCTTCCCTTGCCTCCAAATACCTTCCCTCACACTCCTGGAAACTTTTACTTCACTTAGTTAATACTGAAAAAAGGGCATGAAGATCCATGTGGATAACCAGCAGCCATTGAAAATATATAAAATACTGGGGACAATTAAAATGCTTGTCAATGAAAGTAATGGCTGTTTTCCTCCAAAAGCCAAAGGAAAGTCATTCAGGTTGTAGAACCTTCGCCTGGGATTAGTAGGCACTTTTATTTCAGACTTTAGGGGACTCTGGCTGAAATTTGGGCTGTATGAGGTGGACAGCACAGCTGGAGTCCTTGGGATGGTAGAGGAGTGGAAAGATCCATTAATATATTCGGGCCAGTCCTTTGCCCAGGTAAAGGGACAGACTTTTCCTCTACCCTTTATCCCACGTCAGCAATGGGCTTGATTAAATCATTCGTGGCTTGACCTACAAACTTTGCCCTTTTTGCATGGAAAACAGTATTTTCTGCATTTCAAAAATGTCTTTATTTTATCCTTTAAAAGTTTTTGAAAAATATTTATTTATTTGACAGAGAGAGAGAGAGATAGCGAGAGAGGGAACACAAGCAGGGGGAGTGGGGGAGGGAGATGCAGGGCTCCATCCCAGGACCCTGGGATCATGACCTGAGCTGAAGGCAGATGCTAAACAACTGAGCCACCCAGGTGCCCCATATTTTCTGCATTTCAAAAGAAGCTTTTTAGGCTTGTCCTATTCAGAATTTGAGGACTGTCACTTTCTGTAATTCTGATTTGATATAAAACTTAGTAACATATCAAGATAGTATAAAATCCATTTGTTCTGAAGAGTTTTTCGGAGACAGTTGGGAGCAGTAGTTTCTGCTGTCTTTATGGTTCAGTCATTGAAAACTTCCTCTAAACCAAGCACTGACAAGTGCTTCTTATCTCCATGGGCTATTTACTGTGGCCAGATAGTGGTCCCTTCTGAGGGAATTCTTGCAAGCCCATGAACCAGCAGCATTGCTGTTGGATTTGTCGTTGTCTCCACGGAGAGTTGGGGCTCCGTGTACATTTGTTGAATGGATCAAAGTAGTAATCAAAGATAGATACAGCCAAATAATTTTGAACAAAAATTCTGCTTTTCTTCACGTTTTTGAGCTCCTGAAAAGCAGATGAATGGCCCACATTATACATCATCAGGGAAATGCAGATTAAAATAATAGTGAGGGT